ACCACTGTTAAGCACTGCTAACCACTGCTAACCACTGTTAAGCACTGCTAACCACTGCTAACCACTGTTAAGCACTGCTAACCACTGCTAACCACTGCTAACCACTGTTAACCACTGCTAACCACGGCAGCACCGTGCTGCTTGCGTCACGGGACACTCCATAGAAGCAAATGACCATGTTCTCCTAGGCGATTTAAAGCAAACTGTATATTTAATCTTGACTAGTTTAAATCTTTTGGAGGACATTGCTTTAGCTGTGTGTTAGCCGTCCTTTCTAATCCTTATTAGATTATCCTGAATTCATCATAGTTAATTTATAAGAAACAGTGTTTTTGGGCTGGTGGGGGGGGGGGGGGTCATTGTTTCTTTGATGAACCTTTTGTCCCCGACGTCACAGCAGCTGCAAACCGCTTCCTAACTAAATCAAGAATGACAGCCGTTAATCCTGAGCAGATAAAGATGCTGCAGATCGTCAAATAAGCTTAACCGATGACTTAAAGGCTGCAAAGAGATTGCCCTTGGATATACTGATCTCCTGGTTCTCATTTACAGTGTAGAGATGGGATGTGGCAAAATGGGCTTCTGTACCACGGCTGGCCTCCTTCACTGGTATGCCATGTTTAACTATTGAAATACAATCAAAAAGGTTGTTTCTTTTTCCAGTCATTCTGTTTGTATTTACTATTGCATGCAGACAAAATCACTAGACATGATACCATCAACTTATATTAATTTAATGTTTCTTTATGTGCTAGAGAATGAAATTGATAAAAAATGTCAACAAGGGCAATCCAAATTCTTTGTATTCTATTTTGTTGATAACCTACAAAAACTATATCCTCCTGGCACCCGAGATAAAAAGTGTCCTTCACTTTTAGGTTATTTGTCTTAACTTACAATTTAGATTTTTTCTAATTTATTCTTATTTTTAATTTCACAGCATGTCCTCTTTGGTGTACAACAGGAATAAATATGTTTCCTTACATGAGTGAAAAGATAGATGCAAAAACAAAATGTCCACTACAATGGACATAAATGAATGGGTGAGGTCTCAGGAGGATAGAAAATTAATTGCTGTAATTGCTACAACTAAAAAATATAATGGCTACAATTTTTAAAAAGACCAAATTCTTAGGCTGACCAAACAAGCATGTCACGGTTTTGGGTGCATTTTTGCGGTGTTGATTTATGCTGACAGGTGATTCCGGTGCTGGTCATGTTTTGTCCTTTGTAAATGCATGCCATTCTCAATCATTTGGTGGTGTAAATACTGCAAGGTGACTTCCCAAACTTCAGATGTTATTCTTGTGAAAAGCTAACCACATATGTAGGAGAAGTCTTCAATCTCATGCCTGCCCGTCCTTCGTCTTCCTGAGGAAATTAGAGTGAATCGCAATAAGGTCAGGGAAAATGGATGGAAATTCCAGACAGTGTAGTTGAACCTTATACTTGTAAATACAGACCTTGGCTGCTGTGTTGTTCATGCGGAAATGATGATTCCAGATGGTATGGTTTGGCTATTATACATTTTACTTAGCAATACTATGATTGGAGTTTGTCACATTTTGGCTGAATTGGAACCAACAATACGCAGGGCTTATCAATCAGCCATGACACTGATACCATTTGACAGAATTGGCATCTGTCAAGGATATATTAAAGGATATATTATGCAAAGGAAGAGTTAGTTCTTGAAGTTGATGTGTTGAAAGCAGGAAGAATGAGCAAGCTGACCCGTCCTCCGCGCCTATAACTGGCATGTGAGCGTCATAATCGGAACATGGAGCAATGGAAGAAGGTGGTTTGGTCTAATGAGTCACGTTTTCTGTTACATCACGTGGACGGCTGCATGCGTGTGTGGGGACAGTTGGCACCAGGATGCACTATAAGAAGAAGGCAAGTTGGTGGAGGCAGTGTGATGCTCTGGGCAATGTTCTGCTGGGAAACCTTAGGTCCAGGAATTCATGTAGATGTTACTTTGACACGTACCACCCATCTAAACATATAAACACAGCACCTCAGGACGTGGGCTTTACCTTTATCAGAGGATGAGGGCAGGCTGTGCCTCTGCTCTACCCGCATCACATGATGAGGGCAGGCTGTGCCTCTGCTCTACCCGCATCACATGATGAGGGCAGGCTGTGCCTCTGCTCTACCCGCATCACATGATGAGGGCAGGCTGTGCCTCTGCTCTACCCGCATCACAGGATGAGGACAGACTGTGCCTCCTGCATCAGAGGATGAGGGCAGGCTATGCCTCTGCTCTACCTGGGCAATACCCAACATAAACACAGCAGCAGAGGAGGATGACAGGCTGTGTGTCAACGCTGCCCAGGTGATAATCCTCTCCTTGGATCTCCCTTCCTTTCTTCCCAAGGTCACTGTCCTTTCGTGGATGACCATTGACATTAGGTTAATCAGCCTGCTTCTTTAATCCAATCAGGAGGATTGGTGACATCACTTGATCTATCTTGTCACCCCAGTCCTACTCTGCTCTCTCCCAAAACCTGGTGGGGTCTGGTGAGGTGTCACAGGATAAGAGGGACAAGCACAGAGCTCTCGGTCTGTTGTCGGCTGGTGCAGCTCCAGATCAGGGCCTTTTGGATTTGCCCTGAGTCCCTCCATGTGATAGGTAAGTCTTTTCCGCCTTTCATGAAATGTTGTCCTTATACACACACAGACACACACACACACACACACACACACACACACATATATTTTTAAGGATCCTTTGTTTTTCTCTCATGTCTAAACCAGAGAAGCCTTGGAAAATAACTACATCTAACTGAGATTTTTTTCATTTCAAACATGGGAAATAAGTAATACAATATTTTAGTGTTTTTCATGTTATGAAAACCACATGACAGGCTTTCATACCTCCCACCACCCACCCCAGTGTGTAGTTGATGACATTTCCGTGCTCCAAACCCCTCCTCTAGGCCTCTTGTGTGAGTTAAATTTTGGAAAATGGACCACATGTTAAAAAAATACAGAAGCGCTTGCATACACATAGATGTTAACTTAAACCCTGCAAAATGAATTGCAGATTTTTCAGTTTTCTCAGTGCATTTGTCATTCCAAGACAGGTTGGATGAACCTCCTCTTTCTACTGGAACAAAAACTTACCAAAGGAATTTATTTCAATGTCATTTTCTGCAAATGTATCTCAGACGTTATTGATTAAAACATGAGTGTGGAACTGATAGTTGACGGCCTACCAGCCCAAAAAGCAATTGGCCAGCCCCTCTTAGTCCAGCGAGGGCAGGCCTTGGTGTGGGGCCAAACCAGCCTGACGAGTTGCAGATGGAGAAGCAGACATTAAACATTCTGCTTTTGTGAAAACAAGAGAACCTCAGCAGAACAGGGAGGTGGCAGCCAGACCGACCCATTCTCATTAGCACTAATGCATCTTGAAAGGCTGGTCCTCAACAAGCAAGGAAATGATCTGAGTTTCAGCATCTTTAACTATTTGTAAATTTTTTAGGGCCTGTGTTACAAAGGAAATGCCCTGTGATTAAATCCTATCCACTATCTGCAATACTTCAGGCTCTCAACCCTGACTAAGAAAAGCAGTTGGATGATGGTTGGATGAATTGTAAAGGGAATGTGTTTGGTGTGGAGTCAGAGCGTGTCCTGAGGGAAGTAAAGAGCTCAGATAGTTCAAAGCATGAAAATACCACGGGTAAATTCTTCTTGAAAAACTGAATTATTATATAACTCATAGTAGAGGTGTGTATTTGAAAGCATTCCCAGCCAAAATGCTTTTCATGCGTGGTAATGCATATGCAACAGTCTTTGTATAGATTTGTGGAAATCTTTTTCTGATGCATTTATAGCACCTAAGACTTAGCAGTAAGTTCTAATGTAGCGTAGTCTGTGAACCATGACTATGGAACCATGACCATAAGCTGTTCTCCATCCATAATCAACCAAGAGTTGAGAACTAGCTGAAAATGCATCAGATTATGTGTACTATAGCTTAGACTTTAATAAATAAGGGTGCAATGTAGGGCTACGAGAATGATTCCTGGTCTTAGAGGAATGTCTTATGAGGAGAGGTTAGCTGAGCTGAATCTGTTTAGCCTCGAGCAAAGGAGACTAAGGGGGGACATGATCCAGGTATAAAAGATTCTAATAGGTCTGGATGCTGTTCAGCCAAATGGCTATTTCAATATTAGTTGAAATAATAGAACTCGTGGCCATAAGTGGAAATTAGCGGGAGAACATTTTAAAATGGATTTGAGAAAGCACTTCTTTACACAGAGTGTAGTAAGAGTATGGAATTCCTGCTAGTGTAGCACAAGCTAAAACCCTGGGTTTCTTTAAATCAGAGCTAGATAAGATTTTAACAACTCTGAGCTACAGTATTAGTTAAGTTCTCCCCAAACGAGCTTGATGGGCCGAATGGCCCCCTCTCATTTGTAAATTTCTTATGTTCTTATGTTCTTAGTGAGAACCAGCCAGTCACAAGAAATAAGCAGGAAGCAGAATGATTAACCTAATGTCAATGGTCATACATGAAAGAACAGTACATTCTCTTTGTAACACAGGCCCTAAAAATATGTACAAATAAGTCACGTTGGGTTCCTTATAGAAAGAAAGAGCAGGATTTGTCAGCTATTTGTATACACACCATTCAGATAATTATCTGTTTTGCAGAAAAGTTCTTTGTACTTGTTTGTTGATGCCAATAAAAAGTTTTCTAATATTAAGTTTTGCATGAGTTGTGTTCAAGGCAGGGTGACTTTATTTACATAACACATTTCCTACAGAGAGCAAATTCAAAGTGTCAAATGCACTGACACAGCAGGGGGACATAGCTTCACCTTGTACATTGTGTATAATGCAAGCCTGGCAGTATGACTAAGTTAGTGCTGCTAACCCTAATCTACACATGCAGATGATATTATATTGCTGGGATGTCTGAAGCCTAGTTCATACTTCACTTTTCCATGTGCGCTTAGTGTGCTTTCTTTTGAATGGCTCTTGGAAAGGAATGGAGCCATAAAATCCAGCTCCCTTCAAAGAGCTGTTATTCCCATCACTATCTGCGACTGATTCTCTCTTCCTGTCCTCTCTTGCTGCTACTGATCATGGCAGGATGGCGCGGGACATGTCTGATAAGGAGCTCCTCAAGATGGAGCTCGAGCAGCTCCAGAAGGAGGTGAAAAACGAGAGGATGCCGGTGAGAGCGTCTTGTAAGCAGCCAAGTGGGGCACCTCTCCACTGCCACCTACTGGTTGAGAATATATATTACATGGACAAAAATATTGGGACACACCTCTTAATCGTTGAATTCAAGTGTTTCATTCAGATCCATTGCCACAGGTGTATAAAGTCAAGCACCTAGCCATGCAGTCAGGGTTACAAACATTTGCGAAAGAATGGGTAATTATGAAGAGTTCAGTGAATTCAAGCGTGATACTGTCATAGGATGTCACCTTTGCAATAAGTCAATTAGTGAAACTTCTTCCCAGCTAGATATTCCACGGTCAGCTGTAAGTGGTATTATTGCAAAGTGGAAGCATTTAGGAACAACAGAAACTCAGCCACAGAGTGTCAGACCACGTAATGTAAGAGAGCGGGGTTGTCAAGTGCTGAGGCGCTAGGTGCATATAAATCGCCAGCACTTTGACGACTTAACTGAAGAGTTCCAAACTTCCTCTTAACCCCAACACAAAAACTGTGTGCTTCATGGAATGGGCTTCCATGGCCGAGCAGCTGCATGCAAGCCTCACATAGCCAAGCGCAATGCCAGGCATCAGATGGAGTGATGTAAAACACGCCGCCACTAGACCCTGGAGCCGTGGAAATGTGTTCTGTGGAGTGACAAATCAAGTTTCTCTGTCTGGCAGTCTGATAGATGAGTCTGGGTTTGGCAGATGCCAGGAGAACGTTACCTGCCTGACTGGATTGTGCCAAGTGTGAAGTTTGGTGGAGGAGGGATAATGATATGAGGTTGTTTTTCATGGGTTGGACTCGGCCCCTTAGTTCCAGTAAAAGGAACTCTTAATGCTTCAACATACCAAAATATTTTGGACAATTCTATACTTCCAACTTGTGGGCGTTTGGGGAAGGTGCTTTTCTGTTCCAACATGACTAACTGTGCCCCAGCGCACAAAGCAAGGTCCAAAAAGACATGGCTGGGTGAGTTTGGTGTGGAAGAACTTGACTGGGCCTCACAGAGCCCTGACCTCAACCCCGTCAAACACTTTTGGGATGAACTACAACGGAGATTGCGAGCCAGGCCTTCAGATCCAACATCAGTGCTAAATTCCATATTGATGCCTATGGATTTAGAATGCAATGTCATAAATGTTCCTGTAAGTGTAATGGCCAGGTGTGCCAATACTTTTTTCCATAAAGTGTATTTGCAGGGTATGTGTGAGAGATAAACTTAATTTGGAATAAGTATAATGTCACATATATGAAAGAAGTGCTGATTTATAGCCGTAATGCACAAGGATTCAGAAGGATATTGCTCCTTTCACCAAACATTTATAAACATCTCCTTCAGTTTTCTTCATTGTTAACCATATGAAAATAAACAACAATTAAATTTAGCAAGTGTCTGACAATGACAATGATGCACAGTGAGGTCTTGGTTCTGCTTGAGAGGCTCTTCAGTTATCCAGTTGTTCTTGTCTATATTCCACACATAGATTTCAACGACAGCCAAGGAGCTGGCAGACTGGGTTGAGGCTCACGTTGGAGAAGACCCCCTGGTGAAAGGCGTGCCTGAGGATAAGAACCCTTACAAGGAGAAGGGAGGCTGCGTGATAACCTAGCGAGGCTGACGGGGGACAACCCCGGAAAACAGAGAGCTATCTGATATATAAATAACGATATACATAGCTGTGAGTGAGCTGTTCCAGGTTAAATCTATTTTCACCCAAACTGGATATAGCACGACTGTATTGAAGCAGAGCAGTAATTTTGGAAAAATGGTTCCACCTTCAAGACTCTGGACACTGAAGACAGCAAGACCCCAGCAACACAATCCCACCAATCCCATCCAGCTGCAGTGGTTTATTCCCAGGGCAGTCCCACCCACATTTTACACCTTAGTAACAGAGTTCTGTCCTTGTACTCACACTCTTATCAGTGCAGAGCTTTGGCACTCGAGCCCAGAGACCCCCGGCTTGCCAGTGATAAATCGATGTTGTCTGTCTGTAAATAAAGTATAACTAGCTTTGAAAAGCATGGAAACTGAGTGTTTCAATTCTTTGTGGTGAATAATGTCTAGTGTCACGTTCCAAACTCAAAGGAGGCGGAAGCAGGCATGAGGGCAAAAAATGAGGGGTTTATTAAACAAAAGGAACAGGGTAAACAAACGTATGAGGTCAAGCAAAAGGCAAAAAGAGAAACCACTGGAGCAGACTGCGGAGTACAGGACTGGGAGGCATTCTTATAAACAACTAATGAGGGAGCAGATGAGATGCAGCTGGAGTGATCCGCATGAGGGCTGAAAGGAGACATAAGACAAATGAGCAACATGTGTGGCTTGTTAGAGGGATAGAAGAAGAGAGGCAGGGATGCAGGGCACCTACAAGGATGATAACTCACTGTAGGACAAAATCTGTTGTAACTAGAGACTTTCAGCCATTAGCTCTAGCATCTGAATGGCCAAGAACTGAAAATGTGAGTAGTCCGTAACACTACTGCAGCAGGCAGTTATACCAAAAATAATCCACCGGCCCTTTAAATGAAAACATTTACGGTTCTACAACTTTCTCCACCGGTAGTGAAATTTGAGGATCTCCCAAAAGTTCCTGTTCCTGTCCTGCTGTTGTCCTGCTGTATGACTGGAAAAACAGACAGCAGTGAAATAAAATCCTGGGATTCAGAGTTAATCTAGGTCTGTCTCACCGCAAGAGTGAATGGAATTTTTTTTCACCGTAACTGCCACTGATAGAGCTGGAGGTTGGAACAAGATATGAGTTTTTTTTGCAGATAGCAAGTAATGTTTCCTAATTACTGTATCTGTATTGCCACTCATAAAGATTTTCGTTGCACAAAGAATCTTGATTGCTACACTCAGACCTTTAGCATTCGCCAATAAAATCAGCTGTTTTGTACTGTACTGTTCTCAGATATCCTGTTTTCCTCTTGTTCTCCTTGTTACATTCAAAGGCCATTTCTGAGCCATAACACAGTCACAATGTGGCTCCTGGTTCTTCTCCTGGGAGTTGCAGCCTATCTCTATGGGATTTACAGGTTTCTTTTCGGCAAGCGCAGTCCCTTCTCTGCTGAATCAGTGAGGCCGCCAGGAAAGCGCATGTATGAGCAGAAGGAGAGAGACAAAGTGCTTAAGCAAGGTGAGTTTGCTGATATTGCTGCCTGCTTATTTCTTCAAAGCTGCTGTTTTCATTGATTTCTCTCCAAATAAATGGGTGGCCCTGATCTCACATTATACAATCACACATACATGTAAACAATCTGTATATAGACAAACGCATACATACACCCCATAAACAATTTTCATAATAATAGCTATGATTTTTTTCTCTATTGTAAAATTATAGTGGATGCTGCAACCACATTTGTGCAATACAGGTTTATATTATGCTGTCTTATATTACATTTGATGCAGTGATCCAGCACTAGAGTAGCAGGGACCCAAGGTATCCTGGAGGAAATCTGGGATGCATTCACATCCTTGCAGGGCTGGATCTGGATTCAGACACGAAAATGTGAGGCAGCAGCAATACCTGTGCAGACGCTGGGACACTCTTATTCATAAAAATGACTTAAACAGACTTTCATCTGTATGTAATTAACTGCTTTTCCTATTGCAGTCATAGGACTATTCAAAGGTTTATTTAATTAGAGAAACTGTACTATATTTACTATATTTATACAATATTTGTAAAACAGTCAACTTGTAAAATAGCTTGGATTTATTGAAGTGTCAGACGGATTTGCAGCATTTAGTGATTTCTTACAGGTTACTAGGGTGGAAAAGACACCAAATAACAACACGTCTTTGGGAAGGAAGGTCAGCAATCAGTGATCACATATAGCTCTGGAAAAAATTAGGAGACCACAGCAGTATGTTTTGTTTCACTCATTTCTTAATGTATGGGTGTGTGTCTGAGAATAATATATATATTTTTTTTTGCAAACTGGTTATTTTCTGTTTCTCATTGATGAAGGGCTTCTTCCTTGCTTTTTGGGTCTTCAGTCCTGCTTCTAGGAGTCCGTAACAAACTTGCCCTAGCAGTGCACTTCACACCTGCACTTAATGTTTCCCATTCGTTTTGAAGGTCATTGGAGGTCAACCTCCAGTTTGAGGCACTACCAGATAAGTTAACAGTCATCTCTGCCATTAGAAAGTTGCTTCTGCCCTCTACATGTCTGGTTTCTGGTCGTTCCCAGTGTCTCCTGCTTCACCTCATTCTTGTGTGCTGCTGTTTGAGAAACCTTTATCCTGGAGGCAACTTGCCGCACAGCGCAGCCTCTGCCAGCAGAACCACGATTAAACCAAGATTTTACAAAGCACATTTTCTTAAGTGGTCTCATTTCTTTCCAGAGCTGTATATTAAAAATTTACTGATTATTGATGATAGAGTTGATCTGTGGGCTGGACACTTATTTTGCAGCTTAGACTGAATTTATTGCACTAATTATTCAAGGAGTAAATGACCAACCAGCCACTCTGTTATAGCTCTTGTATATCTTAATTAGATTATGACAAAAATGACTGATCAGTAGGTCAGCCCTTTCATAAAGAGCATTTATGGCAGCTCTATATAATGGCCTGGGTTTAATGGCTGCTATAAGAACAGTCTTCGAAAGTCAGCGATTGCTCAACTTAAGATTTGCACACGTTTTGAGATAAGATGCCTGATTCAATTTGATACCAAGAATTGGTGTAGGTTCTCAACATTTAAGTTCGACCTTCAGATTTCAAATGCGCGTCCTCGGTCACCAGGCTGTCTGCAGTCTCGCGATGGTGTTTCACGCAGGGTTCAGCGTCGAGAAGGTGCCAGAGAACCTGGACGCTGTTGTGATTGGCAGCGGCATGGGGGGGCTGACGGCGGCAGCAATATTGGCCAAAGTTGGCAAGCGGGTCCTAGTCCTGGAGCAACATGACCAAGCAGGGGGCTGCTGCCACTCATACATCGAGAAGGGCTTTGAGTTTGATGTCGGTAAGAAGGTTTTAAGCAATCGCCCATGGCAACCAGGCACCACCCTGTTTACATTTACTGCAACGTATAATGCAGATGGAATCTGGTTATGGTGATATCCTCTAACCAAGGCTTGCAATACAAAGACTATAATACAGTAACAGCCTGGCCTGTCATTTCAGAACATCGTGCCAGTTTCCCCACTGTGAGGAAAGCATCTGCATTTTTCTAACCTGCTTGAAATTTCCATGTGGTGTCTGGGTAATGAGTTATGCGTGGGATGTGCTCCACGGAGTGCGAGAAGCCAAGTATAAGCAGCCATACACAATTTCTTTTAACATATAATCCATCCATCCATCCATGCATCCAATTTCTGTAACTGCTTGTCCTGTCCAGGGTCGCAGGGGGTCCGGAGTCTATCCCAAAGGCTACGGGCGCAAGGCAGGAACAACCCAGGATGGGGCACCAACTCATCGTAGGGCACACTCACACACACACACCATACACTCACACACCATTCACACACACACACACACACACATCATACACTCATACACCATTCACACCCTCACACACACCATTCACACTCTCTCACACACACCATACACTCATACACCATTCACACACTCACACACACCATTCACACACTCACACACACCATTCACACACTCACACACCATTCACTCACACACCATTCACACACTCACACACCATTCACTCACACACCATTCACACACTCACACACCATTCACTCACACACCATTCACACAATCACACACCATTCACACACCATTCACACAATCACACACCATTCACACACTCTGACACCATTCACACACACACCATTCACACACTCACACACCATTCGCACATTTCCGAGTCTCTGTGAACCTGTGCTGGATCAGTGGCTCGAACATGGATGGGTGGATGGATTGATGCAGGAGTGTCGTAAAGGGAGGAAAGTTAGGACAATTCCAAGCGCCCCTAAAAAATTTGGAATATAATTTGATTGGTCTGGGTTAGAGACCCAATTTAATATGCCTTCATGGGGCCCAAAATCTCTAGCGGCACACCTGGATGGATGGATGGATGGATGACATCTGGATCCTACAGGTCTCCACTACATTGGTCAGCTGCACGAGAACAGTCTGTTCCGCATTGCTTTGGACCAGATCACTGAAGGACAGCTGGAGTTCATAAAGCTGGACCAGCACTTCGACACCATCGTCATTGGCGACGGCGATGAACGCCGCATCTACCGCATTCACACGGGCAAAACGGAAATGGCAGAACATTTAAAAAAGCAGTTTCCCAATGACACTCAAGCCATTGATGCCTTCTTCAAAATAATGAAGGTAGAGTATTTAGAGCTAATGTATATTTTCCAGAACTACTTTTGAGCTTCTCCAGTCTTATTTGTAGGTAGCACATGTCCCTCCATGAGAAATAGTAAATAAGTGAAAAGTAATATGTATGCATTAAAAAACATATTCTTCATCCTTTGGCAGAAGTTAAATCACGTGTCACACCGATACCAAGAGATGTTTCAGTGAAAAAACCTTCAGGCACACTGATCTGGCAGGTCTATTGGTTGTCAGTAACTTTAGCCTAAAATGAAGTAGTATCTTTATTTTGTTATGTGACTGATATTTTACTATATGGAATTTGTAAGGGTTGGGGGCTTGACTCGCCCCCCCCCCCCAGCTCTGTTATGTCTTCCTGCTTCCCTGTGGGATAATGTAGTTTCTTTGCACAGGTAGGTGGTGTTTCTGAATTGCCCTTGTGTGTGTGGACTCTGTGATGTGGACTCTGTGATGTGGACTCTGTGATGTGGACTGTACTTTTTGGGATAAACTCCAGGCTCATTGGAACCCCGTACTGGATAACGGTTTATGGAAGCTGAGTGGATATCCTGTATATCCAACATATTCAATATCAATATATAATTGATATTTTCTTGCCTTACATGAGGTTTCGGCTACGAAGACGCACTATCTAGCAGCCCTCAAACTGATCCCGCTCTGGTTGGCCTTGTTCCTGCTCAAGTCCCGCATTGCTCATCTCTTTTCCCCCATTTTCAAATGGGCCAGCACAAGCGCGACGATTATGAACAACCGCCTGACCAGCAACAAGGATCTGCATATAATCTTCTCCTACTTCTTCTACGGTAATCTGAGGACCTTGTCCGTCTCTCTCCTGCTTCTGAGCTCCAGTGCACCAGGTCCTGGTTAGTGCTCTGGCTCTTCATGGCCGCTTGTTGTCTCTCAGGTGTTCCCCCAAAGGATTCCAGCACCGTCATCAATGCTCTACTGCTACATCACTACAAGCGTGGGGCTTATTACCCGAAGGGAGGGGCCAGTGAGATCCCCTTCCACATCATACCTGTCATTCAGAAAGCCGGGGGAAACGTATTGGTTAGAGCCCCCGTCTGTTGTATCCTGGTGGATGAGAAGGAAAGAGCATATGGTAAGTGAAGGTTATTAGTTACAGGAATTTTAGTCTTGGACTGGATATGTTACATGATATGGTGAAGGTTGAGAGATCTCTTCAGGAACTTTGTCTTGCTGATTATGACGGGAGGACCTTTGAAACCTATATTACCTTTGACCTCTAAATAAGACTGTTATCCTGGCATTTCCCTAAACTTGATGTTAAGGATGGAAAACTGTGTGGAGGAGGCCTCAGATATAAGAAGTCTGACCCCTAACTAAGCCCTGTCATTGCTAGGTGTGACGGTAAAGAGAGGCACAGAGGAGGTGAAGGTGCTAGCACCTGTCGTCATCTCCGACGCAGGAGTGTTCACCACCTACCAGAAGCTGCTCCCACCAGAGATTCAGGCCAAGCCAGGTAAGGCTGACGCATCTTTTTGCAACATCATCTATCTGCTGCCTGTGTGTATCTGAAACAGGGGAGAAACTTAACTCCAGTACTGGAGAAGCAGCATTGAAGGATACAACAGTAAATGTCATTCTTGGATCTCATTAAGTTAGGAGTTCAGATATGCTACATTTTCTGTTGCCTGCTGGTGTCAGCGCCCTTTAAATAAATATTATTCCTGCATCGATGTGCTACAGCCTAGCTGGGGTGCTATCTGTTGCCTTATATTACATTGAACGGATTACATGCTTGCCATGTAAGACAAGAACAGACATTCTTGCAAGATAATTCAAAACAGTCTTCAGTGGATTCCCACCGTTTCTGGAATCATAGCACATATTTTGGCAGGAGCCTTTGGCAGTTGTAAAACAATGAAGAACACTTTTTCCCCTGACAGAAATTCAAGACCGCCTCAATATGATGAAACATGGTAGGGGGACCTTCTTAGTCTTTGCTGGCTTCGATGCCACACAAGAAGAACTGGGAATTGTGTCAACCAACTCCTGGCTCTACAAAACCAATGACATGGACGATATGTTAGTATTGGCGCAAACCTTCCAGACAGCGACAGTTGCATTTATTTTGTAGTTGCATGGGATTTCCAGCAGATGGTGACATTGGCCAACAATTTGAATTAAGGCCTCAGCCACTTAAGACTTGTGATGATCAGAAGTATTATACAAAGATGCAGGAATCCTTGTTCCTTTCCCACTTACAATCTGTTCTGTGTCTGATCCCCTCTGTTTAAGGATCTTGCAGAATATTGTTTAGCCTAAAGAAGCAAAAAAATCTATGTTTGCAGGATGGATTGTTTCTTTAGTCTGAGCAAAGAGGAGGCGCCTGATAACATTCCCATGATGTTCATAACATTCCCTTCAGCTAAAGACCCCACTGCCAAAGTCCGCCACCCAGGTATGGGCCCCCGCGTCCTACTGCATTTGCCAAATTATTTGCATGCTGTTGCAAGTGTTCAGATTGAACTGTATAAGTACCAACAGTCACACTTGGTTAATTTTCAGGATCTCTGCAGAACATAGCAGCTAAAGCATTATAGTGCAAAAACACTATTTCAGCAATCCCAGAAGGTCTGCACTGGTCCCCAGGCTCAACAGTGCTTGCTCATTATCCTTCTGCCTGGTTCATATGTAGTTGTCCGACGTTCTGCCCTCAGGGAAATCATGGATGACTCTCCTGACCATGGTGAATTATGAGTGGTTTGAGGAGTGGACGGACACTGGCGTGAGGCGAAGAGGGAGTGAGTACGAGGCTTACAAAATGAGATACGCAAACACGCTGTTCGACTGGGCTTGCGAGCACTTCCCCAAGCTGAGGGATAAGGTACGTCAGAAGGCATGGGAGTCGCACCAATGGGTCTGGGGAAAGATAAGAAAAGACAACTGTGAAAGAGGAGCCGTGTGCTCCACAGCTGAGGAGGACATGATTTTGGCCTGGTGTGGGGGTACAGATACTCCCCAGTGTTATTCCCCGGCTCCCCCAGCTGGTGTTCCTGGAGGCGGCTACACCCCTCACCAACATGCATTACCTGGGTGCTTCACGTGGGGCCATGTATTCAGCTGAGCAGAACCTGGACAGGTTCCACCCTGAGGCCATAGCCAGGAACAAGTGCTCCACACCAGTGAAGAACCTCTTCATCTCAGGTAGGATGTGTGGCTGCATTTAGAGGATGCGCTTCTTCCCTTCGGACCCCAGAATCAACGTCAGCAGACAATGCCATGTGAGAATGAGTTGATACACTCATAATATAATATCTCAAACTTGTCATTTATGTACACTGCAGATACAAAAATACACATGGGAATATACATAAATTAAACATAAATTACAAATGTAAGCAAGGTTCATAGGTGGGGATGTAAAATGAATATTACTGTCATTTATTAACATCAGTCTCCATGCAGCTCTTTGACACCCCCCGAATTGTGTTGGGCTCCCCCTCTGCACTGTGCAGTGTCGGCAGTGATGTGAGTGGGCGGGGCCAGCGCTGACGAATCAGGCCGCTGCTGTGTTCTCAGGTCAGGACGTGTTCAGCTGTGGGATTGCGGGGGCCTTGCATGGGGGGCTCCTCTGCGCTTCCACGGTTCTCGACCACATCATCTACATCGACCTCCTTTTCCTCAAGAAGAAGCTGAAGAAGCGGACGAGAGCCAAGCTAACCAAGAAGCAGGAGTAACCTCAGGCCCCTACAGTATATCTCCAGCCCCCCCCCCCCCTTCACTCCACACGACTCTGCAGGGCTTTGACACACAAATGGTCACTTTGAAAATACAATGCTACTTGCCATCCTCAAAATTCCCCATGGTGTTCATGCATGTGTGCGCGCGCGTGTGTGTGTGTGTGTGTATATGCGAGCAGGTTTACCTATCCTTATGGGGACATAATGTCCCCATAACGTGATAAATATCTGTTTTTTTTCCCTTATGGGGACCGGTTTCCTGGTCCCCATAAGGGAAAACTCTATTTCATAAAAATCGGTGACTGCTATGAAAAAACTAAAAATGCAAAAACTCTTGTATCTTGTATAACTTATGGTTATGGTTAGGGCAGGGTGGGGGTTAAGGTTGTCATAGTTAGCGTTAGCATTTTTCCCATTGAAATGAATGAGCGGTCCCCATAAGGATATGTATACCCTACATGTGCGTGTGTGTGTGTGTGTGTGTATGGACTGGCATTCCTTCCAAGGTGTCCCCCAGCCTCACTCCCTGCTATGCTGCCTTGGATTGGCTCCAGGCCCCCATGACTCCGATCAGGAAGCAGTTAGAAGATGCATGAGTGGATGGATAAGAAAATACAAAATTATTCATCTCCTTTAGGAGAACATGCAAGAGCTGTGAATAACAGTCTATTGATATTATCTTTAATAGTTAATAGAAATATAATTGATTACATTTTCAAATCATGCAAGAAATATTATGTGAGGAAAAAAAGCAAAATGAATTACAATAGTAGACTGTCACACAATTTTCCTAAATAAATTTGTATTGAAATATGACGATCATCTGTGTAAAATGCAAAACCTTTATTGATGTTCTCAATGTCAGTTTGAATAAAGTGCTATGCGAAGGGCTCTGCGTTTGGCTACTTTGCCCCCACACCAGGGTTAATTTGTCGCTGTCCAAAATGACATCAATTGATGAAACGCATGTTTATTTCGTGGCATCAAAGCATCCTGCAGATATTTAGCATCGTGAGTTACTGCCCATCTCTGGAAATTAGGGATTAGCCACTACGTGTTTATGTAGAGCTTTAAACAATGTAGAAAATCTGGCATAAATAAATCCTACTTGCATTAGTGAAAAATGAATACGCTGCTTTATTGTGAGTAATGGTGTACTCATTTGCTGAGCAGAGACCTTTATATCAATGACATACAGAGAGCCTTTAACACAAGACACAGCCTGCACACCTCAGTAAGGCAGACTATGGTTGCTTGGTGTTTAAGGAAGTTTCTTAAGCTAAATGCATGATCCGCTCTTGTTTCAATATTGCTTCTGGAAAGTACGCAATAGAAAACACAGCGGTTCTCCTTCTCCTTCTCCTTCTCCTTCTCCTTCTCAAGGTGATCAAGAGGCCACGGTGATGAGGGAACTTTGAACAGATTTACAGAATTGAGAATGGGGCGAGGTGCCCTAAGGCATTCTGGGAGAATGTGAGTGGGAGGAGCCAAGTTAGGATCATATCGCCAGCTGTTTTCTTTTGACTTGGATTAACATTTTTGCTTCATAGTTAACTCTGTGTATTAACCAAAATGACCAAGATGGTACACGCCATAGCTAAATACGTCAACATCTCTCAATGTTCATAAAAGTCCAACAAAATATTTGCAAAAATGTCTAACAAATAATTAATAAATGTTAACAAAATGCACGAAAAGCCAATAACTGCACTGACAGAGTCAGTTCAGGCTAACATCATGTTTCAATTATACAAGTCACATGGTGCTCTCTGTTTCCAAAGCTCCCCCCGTAGCTGATACACACCCACACATCACCGAGAGGACAATGAAAAAGCAGATTCAGATACATACGGGCATTTAGAGGAAAAAACAACAAGCTTAAAATGTTCATTTAACGTGCTAGTTTTTAAAAGCTAGAGGATAACGCAACAATATGTTTTTACTGGTAGTAGGAAGTGTTTTGAAAATGAGCACTGATGATGATGTGATGATGTGAGATATTCCTGGGAGCTTAATTGTAATGGGGGGCAGTAACAGAACAGTGGTTTTTCAACAGCTAACCAGAACTCTTCATTATGACTACTTGCTTAGAGCACAATTCTATAAAACAACTAAACCAGATCTCCAGTACTAGTTTTACTACTGTGAAATTAAATCACATTTTTTACTGTGAATTTAAATCACATAGTGAATCACATTTTAAAATTTGAAAGTAAATGCATCTGCGTTTACCGAAACATGCAAGTAGCCTCAACCCAGCTAATGCTATTTATGCTAATTGCTAGGTTAGAAAAGTCTGAATTACGTGCTTAGCTCCCCACTGCACATGTACCCTGCCTCCATTTTGAGCCTTTGTGCAAGACCAAGACCTTGTCCATACAACACTGAACCTTCTGCCCCTGCCTAGATACTAGATACTTACTATTGGATGTCCCCAAACCCCAACCACCGTAAAAAGCATATGGTGCCTTGTGATGCTCCCTCTCCATCACTCATGCCAGACCTCTTTTATCTCCTTCAAATGGAGGAACCAGAACCAACAAAATGAACACCTAATTTGCTAAGAGTCTTTACTGGTAAATTCAAGGCCTAATTGTACCGTCTATCCCTTGGGTGATGACATGGGTTTAATATATGATTCAAGACAACATACAGTAAAATAAGACATGACAGAACTATGTTCAGTGTTGGACATTTCAGTTCCAGAAGCTACAAATCCAGACCAAGATTTTGTTTCTACCAACCAGTTGGGCATAAAGAATCACAGTCAGGTGACCTAAAATTCCCAACACTGACTATATTGACCCCCTGAGGAGATTCTTCTGACCCCTAAGAAAGTGCATGGTACAGTGCAGGTGGTACATACATCTAGGAGAGTACCATGTGCACATCTTTCCTCCCTCCACCGCTGCCTCTAAAGAGGGCAGACTCAGACCTATGAAAAAAAAGCCTCCATCACTTTAATATTAACCCACACAGCAAACCGCAGCTGGCCGTGACCGACTGGTAAATTGTGCAGCAGTTTACTGCCCACTGAAGGGTCGGAGTCTCTTCCAGAAAAACAGGCTGCTCTGCACTTTCTTGCAGACCTCCCCCATGTTGCTATGCCTGCCCGGCCTCTCGTGAATGTAGACACACCCCTTTTTAGGCACATTCATGAGAGGAGGACCTTCTGTAGCTGTAATGACAGATTACACATGTGTTGCAGAACCGCTCCCATTCTAGGCCAGATGCCATCAGGACCGGCTGCCTGGTATAGCTGTAACCATCCGAGCCCTTTTTTAGAAGGAATCGGGGGGCCAAGGTAGACCGTTTGTGGGGGAGGGCCAAGGTGGAACCTTTGTGGGGGAGGGCCCCAAATTATCCTGGTCAGAGTTATGGGAGCTCAGACCCAATCCGGGGTAGCATAAGGAAAAAGGCTGGGGTACACCCTAGACAGGAGGCCCATTAACTGCAGTCAGTTAACTGCAATAATAATTACAGTCTGGGACTCTGCTGTACTGCCTTCGTTACTTTTAAGGTCATGCTGAATGTGCATTGTTTGCAGCCTAAGTGTACAGTGAAATGTACAGTGTGTTTTCCAAAGTTCTGGCTACAGTTGTATATACCGCAACCTTATCTTCTGCTCAGATCAATGAAAGACGCCTTCCATACATTGAAATTCCCTTACTATAACACTGACATTATAAGCTACCTTGGAAAAAAGCATCAGTCAAACAAACAAACAAACATACAAGTAAATAAAAACAATAAATTACACAGTCTCGTGGTGTGGCTATATTGTCATTTAAAGAAAAATGATAAAGTAATTGCTACTAACAGTTTTAACAGTAGTATCTGTCAAAACCACCGACCCTCAAAATTTGACTGACAAATGATGTGGCCTCAGAGGAAGTATGGGACACAAAACAAGACCACCGTGGACAAAATGATACATCTCTCCTGATTTTCTCTTTATCAAAATAAATAAATAAATAAAAACTTTCAATTGCAGCTTCTGATTTTTTTTGAGTAGCACTGTCTGAATATTAGTTTTGTGTGTACATTGGTTTAAATGGTTAGTATAAATGAATACATAGATGTTTTCATACATTCGCCTGATTTTCTCAAATGCGGTTGTAGCTAAGTATCAATTGTTTTGACAATTTAGTGAACAGCAAACCGTGATACATAAATGAGCTTTATTTCACCAAAAAAAAAGAGGAGAGAATCCCTGTAGCAGAGAAAGCAGGGAATCCGTAGTGATGTACACGTCTATAAACTAGGCCAGGTGGAGAAAACTGATGTTTAGCATTCTGGGCTCTGTAAACGAGACCATTAAGATGCTATTTTCCTGCCAAATACCTCCCAAAATATGTCATATTCAGATGTAGGAGTTTGGAGAGAGCGCAGAGATATGTGTAACATACTGAGTAACTCAACCCGCCTTTAAAAAGAATTTCCAGTGTATCACTTTAGAATACAACAATAACAGAAGATTAGTACAGAATAAATCTTTCTTCATTGAAGTATTTTAAGCAGTTTGCGCTTGATGTGCGCATTCGTTTGCCTGAACTGTTTGAGCTCACGGTCCTAACCCCCTCCTCTTTTTCGATGGACTATATAGCGGGTTTTCAGCTGACTGAGTGAGAACCAAAATCAAAAGTGCGGCAGGAAACCTCAGACATGCAGGGGTAAGTGGACATTTCCTGCAGAAATCGGCAGCCCGAACGTGGAGGGAGGGCAGACAGTACCGTCTTTGTGAGAGGCAGCAGGGAGAAGCTCTCTTGACTGAGCCTTCTGGCCTTGCCTGCCTCCTCAGCTTTCGTGCCTCCTCTCTCCGAGGAGGTGAGGAAGGGGCCAGGAGGCCATTAGTGTCCCATATGACCCCCTATGCAGGAAGTAGATATTATTATTATCACTGCTCATTATCATCACTTAGAGAATCCCAATTTTCCACAGGTGTTCAATGCATTTTTTGTAACAATACACTGAATCGCAGTATCTGTATGGATGACATTCTTCAAAAAAAAAATCAAGTGCTATTTTTATTCAACAGGTTAATTTAAGGCTCAAAGGTAAAAACAGGGGATCAGAGAAAGATTTTTAAGAATGACAAACACCAACAGATAGTGGAAAGAATATTTCAGAAAGAAAGATTTAAAACTACGGAAAATCCGCAGGCGCTTAAATGATATACTGTAGGGCGGACAGAATGTCTAAAGACAAACGAGGCG